AGCTCAGGTCCTTGCCCTTCCCTTCCCTCCCCCCAGAACTAAACAGTACCATAGCCCAATCCCAAGTCAGCTGACATGGACCAGTCACAGCTGTTTAATTGCAATGTAGACATTCCCCATATGGACATAAGTGAGAGAAATGTGTCAGAAAATGCAGCCCAAAATTAGCTGGTTAGTTACAGAGTAGACATTTTGGCTGCAGCTCAGGTCCTTGCCCTTCCCTTCCCTCCCCCCAGAACTAAACAGTACCATAGCCCAATCCCAAGTCAGCTGACATGGACCAGTCACAGCTGTTTAATTGCAATGTAGACATTCCCCATATGGACATAAGTGAGAGAAATGTGTCAGAAAATGCAGCCCAAAATTACACTGTTGCCATATCATTTTACAGACTCATTTAATTGTCTACCCTTTATAAATTCCTCATCTTTCTACATTAGCGCTTGCTAGTGTTCTCCTTCCTGTCTAATATATTTATTTAGGTATAGGCCCTTAGCTCTATTAGCACACAGTTTCAAGTAGAATTTCATTTTGGTACTTTTTTGCATTCTTTATTGGTTCTCAGCTTTAATATCCTGTTAACTTAATTAACCTACTTGTAGTGGGGTGTATCAGGCCCTTTGAGGCTCCCTACTGAAGACCTCATGGTCCTATCAAACTCCCCACCCCAGAAAAGGAGAAATAAAGGTGCATCCTCCAAGCCTGGTGGATCAGCCCTTTGCAGTTAGAGGGCCTTAGAAGAGAACAAGGTAACTACACTACTGAAATGAAACTAGTGAATACCAATACCATTAAATACTGCTACCAATAGGTACATAAGAGAAAATGCGATGACAGATGTCTGTAGACAACCCATGTATTTCAGGTAAAGCAGTCAACATTAACATCAGGTATTTAAACTGAGGTGTAATTGTTTTGCTCCTTTTCCAAAAGAGTGCATTTTCCTTAGAAATCTAATCTTTTGTGGAAAGGCTTGAATGGCATTTTCACCTTTAAATGATGAAAAGTCTACAGGTCTAGTATTTTAAGTTGTGATGATGGATGGATGTCAGGCTGTATAGAATGTAGAATAACTACTGTTGTTATATACTATCTAAATTAGCTACAAGACACAAAGAACTGAGCACAAATTTCTCTTTCTTATGCCTGTCCGTGAACAAATAATCACACAGAAGCTTCTATTTTGCATTCAATGATACCAAGAGGTGATAGTCTGAGAAAATTGAAAAGACTAAATGCTTGACATGTACCTGGCAAGAAGACTGATAGTTCTGTCTCATCTCACACTGGAATTGCTGAAAGAACTCACAGCAAAGTATTATGTTAAGACTGCAAGATTTAATGAGAACTGTAATAAAACCAGCTATCCCAAGGCCTTGGAAGTGAATGCTCCAGAGACCTCAGAGAGGAGTCTATAGCAGCAGCTGTGAAGCAAGCATATAAACCTAGAAAATTCATCTAGACCACCTGCTATAACTGTTAACTTGAAAATAATCCATGAACATCTTGCACATTGATCTTGTTTTTATCTGAATTTCAAAAAATACAGCTCAAAGTGAGTTGTGGGGGAGAGATTGCTATGAAAAACTGAACATTGTTTGATCCAGCACACCATTTATAGGTCCACTTGCTTGTAAAAGTAGTCATCTGAAACTATGGCACAGCACTAAGGTAATGACGTATTCCAACTTTACCTAATCAAGTACAGGTTTGCCCTCCCTAGTCAAGTACCCTCGGGCTCTCTGAGCTCTCCTTGGGGCCACCAGCCTCCAAGGTCACTGGCCCCTGATCCTGGGCTCTTCTCCCAGCCGCCAACTTCGCTCCTAGCCTCAGCTTGGCTCCCGGCCACCGGCTCCTGTTGCCCACCCAGCTCTGCAACAAGTCCCTGCTGGGGTCCTGCTGCCCACCAGCTACCACTCTGTCACCAGGCCTCTCTGGTCCAGCAACATCTATGGTCCGGCCAGACCATGGATGTTGTTGGCCCAGAGACATTCAACTGATACCATTGCTGTAGAATCCACTATAGGCAATCAATCAATCAACATTTCACTTTAATCAAGAAGGGGGATTAATATGAAAGTTGAAAGGTGGATAAGCAACTGGTTAAAGGGGAGACTACAGCGGGTCATATTGAAAGGTGAACTGTCAGGTTGGAGGAAGGTTACTAGCGAATTTCCTCAGGGATCAATTTGGAGCCAATTTTATTTAATCTTTTTATCGCTGACCTTGGCACCAAAAGTGGAAGTGTCCTGATAAAATTTGCAGATGACACAAAGTTGGGAGGTATTGCCAATTCAGAAAGGGATCAGGATATCATACAGGAAGATCTGGATGACCTTGTAAATTGGAGTGGTAGCAATAGGATGAAATTTAATGGTGAGAAGTGTAAGGTTATGCATTTAGGGATTAATAACAAGAATTTTAGTTATAAGCTGGGGACACATCAGTTGGAAGTAACAGAGGAGGAGAAGGACCTTGGAGTCCTGGTTGATTATAGGAGGACTATGAGCCGCCATTGTGACATGGCCGTGAAAAAGGCTAATACGGTCTTGGGATGTATTAGGCGAGGTCTTTCCAGTAGGGATAAGGAGGTGTTAGTGCCATTATACAAGGCATTGGTGAGACCCCATTTGGAATACTGTGTGCAGTTCTGGTCTCCCATGTTTAAGAAGGATGAATTCAAACTGGAACAGGGACAAAGAAGGGCCACTAGGATGATCCGAGGAATGGAAAACCTGTCTTATGAAAGGAGACTCAAGGAGCTTGGCTTGTTTACCTTAACCAAAAGAAGGCTGAGGGGGGACATGATTGCACTCTTTAAATATATTACAGGGATAAATACCAGGGAGGGAGAGGAGTTATTTAAGCTTAATACCAATGTGGACACAAGAACAAATGGAGATAAGCTGGCTAGTAGGAAGTTTAGAATTGAGATTAGACGAAGGTTTCTAACCATTAGAGGAGTGAGGTTCTGGAACGGCCTTCCAAGGGAAGTAGTGGGGGCAAAAGATCTATCTGGTTTCAAGATTAAACTAGATGGGTTTATGAAGGGGATGGTTTGATGAGATAACATGATCTTGGTAACTAATTGACCATTCATTATCAGTGGGAAATAGGTCAATGGAGGGATGATAGGAGTTACTATAGAGAACTTTCTGGGTGTCTGGCTGATGAGTCTTGCCCACATGCTCAGGGTTTAGCTGATCGCCATATTTGGAGTCGGGAAGGAATTTTCCTCCAGGGTAGATTGGCAGAGGCCCTGGAGGTTTTTCGCCTTCCTCTGTAGCATGGGGTACAGATCACAGCTGGAGGATTCTCTGCATCTTGGGGTCTTCCAAGTATTTGAAGGCTTCAATATCTGAGATATAGGTGAGAGGATTATTCTAGGAGGGGGTGGGTGAGATTCTGTGGCCTGCACTGTGCAGGGGGTCAGACTAGATGATCATAATGGTCACTTCTGACCTTAACGTCTATGCGTCTATGAGAATGTCTAAATTATATGTCTTTAAAGTTGCCATAAGGTTTCAAAATTAAGCAAATTTATACAAAATCAGAGAAATAAACTCTGGTTTTATGCATTCATCTGCTTGTAAGTGTCAATTTGTATCTTGCTGTCATAGGTTGAACATATGAAGAAAATGCATAAAATAAAGATTGTAGATGACCACGAGGGAGGTTTTACCATTGTATATGGCACTGGGGAGACTGTTACAAGAATACTGTGTCCAGTTCTAATGTCATACTTTAAAAACACTATATGAAGCTGAAAAAGTGAGGAAAGCTTTTGTAACATCCTTTGACCTACCCATCCTATCTTCAGCCTCAAATGTCTGGACTTAACTGTACCTGAACATAGCATCTTCCCCAGAATCATAACTATTTCCACATTCAGCATTGCTTCACTTGGAAAGTGATGCTTTTTGCACTATTACTGAAGTTGTAGCATCATAAAGGAATCGCTGTCCTGTAAAGAACACCAACATGACCATACAAATGGAGTATAAGTCCTGACAAGGGGTTAAATAGGTGCTATTGTTGGTAGAGGAATCACCTTTCTGCATGAGTTGGAAAGAGAAAGCACATAAATCTGTCAGAAAATTTTGAATCTAAATTTCCTTGCCTCCTCATCTTGCTCTGTTTTTTGTTTGTTTGCACTTCAGCTCTGTCCCATGCCTTGGGGCTCCCAAGTTCTGTATGTGTTGGCAGCTGAATTTACCTTCTGTTTTGTGCCATTTCTTAAATACTTTGTGAAGGAGCTACAACTATGTAACTTTCATTATCTCTAGAGTTCAGTCACATAACATCAGAAAGGTGGCAGTATTGTACTGTGTTTTCCACCTACTTTAATAGTACTCATGCAGGTGGTATCTGTGGATTTCAAAATTATTTATAAAAGTCAAAGACAATTTGTTTCTAAATACCCTATCTTTTTGTCTAAAAAGCAAGTATGTTAGTAGATTTGTTTGACTTAAGAGATGGCTCTATGGTAAAAGCAAACAAATATCTACAAAGTATTAACAAAAGGAAAAGCCTGAGTTTGAAGTCAACTGAGTTGTATGGGTATAATTGAGAAGAGACTTTTCCCTGATGCATCAAATCAATCCAGAACCAACCCCAGGATTAAGTGATGGGTTTTTAAGCAGCCAAGAACAGTTGGAGTTCTGGAAGATGTGAATTCTTCTTCATAGCTCCACATTTGGGGTGCATGCGGCAGTTAAAACTAAATAGTCATGTTCTGATTTTATTAGTCAGCTGTTGCTGCAGACAGACATAACACATGTTCCTAAGAACTTTTTTTTAAGAGATAGCATTTTAAGCATCACAAACTTTAAAAACCTACACCAGTTCATAAATACAGGATCATGTGGGAGGAGTCTCATCTGTGATCTCTTACCATGCCTAATCATATTTTCTTCATGTTTCACACAGGAATAACCAGAATGACAAGACAGCTTTGATTTTTAACAAGCCCGCTTAATTTAATTCTTTTCTGATTTCAGTGGGAGAAACTACAGATGACAACAAGTGAAAGGAGGAAAATAGTCTGCTCAGTTACATTCCATATTATTGCTATTACCTGTGTTGTTTGGTCCCTATATGTTTTAATAGATCGGACTGCTGAGGAAATTAAGCAAGGCAATGACAACGGTAAGTGTCTTTATATCCTTCTCTGCCAACAGTGAGGGGGTACAGATATGCAGACACATAGCAAGGTATTAGAGGCTTGGCTTGACAAAGCCAAGGACACAGAATTCAGTTTACAAACCTGTTTTTTGCTCACTGTATTTTCTTTCCTGCCATGCCAAGAGATCACAGTTCAATGCACCCATCACAACAGCTAAACTATTCAGTTCATTCTTTTCATTTAACTTCAGTAGCTCAGCTTTTTTAAACTATAATTAAAAATTGATGCATGAAACTCAAAGTTCATTGCAAGTTCAGAACATCCAAAAACCTTAAACCACTCATCTGACCTACTGACGTCTCTCAAGTCTACAAAATTGGGGTTGTAATTTTGCAACAGGCTCTTAGAAGATTCCAAGCAAGTTGACTTGACTTCCAGAGCCAGCACAAAATTCACTGGAGTGTAAAAATTCCTATGCAGCCCTTAATGTGGGAATTAAATGTCACAGAGGTCTTTTCCTGCATTCTCTGCACACAGCTGGATTTCATTCTCTGATAGCAGCCTTTTTTGTGATATTTCAGCACTTCAGGTTCTAATGGGTACCCATACATGCAAAGATTGAGCAAAATGAATGTAAGAGGGAGCAATTACTGGAACAGTTTAGAACAGAAATAGTCAATTATTTTTGTCAACATCCAAATTTCTTCATCAAGGCATAGTCAAGGTCCTAGATCCAGAGAAAACAATCAGTAAATATAAAGATTTGGTGGGGTTTTTTACAAAGCTTCTGACTGTCCAGATTTGATCTATAGTCTGACTATTGACTACTCTTGATTTAGAACTTTAAAACAAGCGTTGACTGTTATTTCAGTACTACTAATAGTATAATAGTTCTTTCAGGATACCACAGCCAGTATTACTGTGTTAAGGTTTTTGGGATCCGTTATGAGTTCACAACTGGATTTACATAGCTGATTTGTTTTACAACAGACTACAATGGGTTAATGAGCTAAGCAGATCATTTCCAACATGCTAGAGTATACTACATTCGTAGAGTTGCAAATGCTCTGCTCCTTTTAGTAGCCAGAATGCATTAAGGTAAAAATGTAACACATGGGAGAAAATCGTGGCCATGGATATGCCTCTGGGCTCTCAGTGAAGTCAATGAGGGAAACAGACAAGTACATTCAGAAACAGAATTTGATCCATAGAGAGTGGCATTATTTGAGTAGCTTGGACCTCCTACTGCAGACAAAACTGAATAGCTCTTATTCCCTACCATGAGGCAGTAGCATACCCACTCTTGCATACTAGCCTACTAACGTGAGAAGATGGGGGCGGGGGTTGGAAATTCCTAACACTATTTTCCCTACTGTTGCTTGGAATACAGGCAGTCCCCGAGTTACGCGGATCCTCTCCAGCAGACCAGGGAGAGGAAGCAAAGCGGCGGAACACGTGGGCAGCGGACAGCCCTGTCAGCTGGCCGCGTCCTCCGCGGCTTGGCTCTGCTTTGCCCCCCCCATCCCTCTGGTCTGCAGACCAGGGGGACGGGGAACAAAGCAGAGCAAAGCCACGGAGCCCGAGGGCAGCAGGACAGCCACGGCGCATCTGGGCTGTACCGCTGCCCCCAAGCTCCATGGCTTTGCTCCGGACACCTGTGGTACAGCAGCTGGGGCGCTGCCAGTTGGTCAGATTCAGCAGCGGCTGAATCAAGCTAGCACATTAATGCTCTTCTACCCTTGTAACTTTTATATCCACAAAAGGAAAAATAAATTCCTTTTTAAAAACAGGTTCCTGGAAAAAAAAAAGTCAGAACAAGTAATTCTGAGGCCCATTTCTGAGCATTTGCACTCATTTCACATATACAGTCACCTAGATGCCTTGTCACATGACAGTTACCAGGGCCATAGCTGAAGCCTTTCCCATTTTGAAGCTGTGAATAACACACTTCACACCCATATTCACTATTGTCTGTTCCTTTTAAAGTATGAAATGAAGATTCAGGATGATACCAAGGTTTGGATGTCCTAGCAAGATAATTTTAAAATCCTTCACATTTCTAACACTTTAGATCCAGAAGTTAGGTTAGAAGGTCTAAATATAGCATGTATCCATGTTATTTAATGAAATGTAACAGCAAGTTGTCAAGGTCTCTCTCAAAATACTATCCTGAGCTAGTAGTAGTTTCTTGAACCATATTAATTTTATGAAAAATTGATGATGTTGAAACTGATCAGTTTCAGCAGCGGCTGAATCTGGACACCAGTTCCGACTTACATACAGATTCAACTTAAGAACAAACCTACAGTCCCTATCTTGTACGTAACCCGGGGACTGCCTGTACTTACTCCAGAGTCTGGTGAGATGACAGAAATATGTACTCAAACCAGAAATCAGAATGGGTACATCTACACTGTGGGGCTATTTTGGGATACTGGAACTATCCCGAAATAGCTATTCCACGTCTATCGACACAGGCTGTTATTTTGAAATACATTTCAAAATAACAGGTGGCTTATTCTGACGTCCTGGTAATTCTTGTTCCACGAGGGTTAAGGGACATTTTGGAGTAGAGAGTTATTTTGAAATTTGGTCCTGTGTAGACAGAGCCAAATTATGAAATAAGTTATTTTGAAAAACACTTGAAATAAGCTACGCAATTTGCATAGCGCAAATGCTTAGCTTATTTCGAGCTAAGGGTGCTGTGTAGACACATCCAGTACCTCCACTGCCTTAAATGGAGCTAGTGATTTACAGCAGCTGAGGCTATTGCCAGTGTGGAACTTTTCAAAACTAACAGTACTTCTCCACCAGTAGGTAGGATTTTCAGAAGATCCTAAATCAGTGTGTGGAGTAGCTGTTATTTGGAGTCCAACTGACTTTGACTTGTGCTAAAAGTCACTTTGATTTTCAATTTTTCAGGTGCCACTGTGATAAAGTTAGCACTTAGATAAGCGTTTATGATCTCTCACTTAACCATATTTTATCACAGATCTCCTTATCCAAGAAATTGCTGCTAAGATGTTTGAACTCAAATTACTGCCCTAATTGTTGCAATGAAGCTGAGCAATTGAGCATCTCAGTGGGTTTTAATCCTATGGCTGACAATATCCTTTCAGGAGTTACTTGCTCTGACTCCCAACAGTTTAATTTCTCCCTTCTTCAATTTTCCCAGGTGTAATATCTGGATAACTGGCATATTTCTCAGCATTGCTGTGAAACTAAAAAATCCTTAGCATATATAGAGTGCAAATCATGATCAAGGTGACTTAGAAACAGGATAGTTTAAAACATTTCTGTATGTGACTAAGAAATTTATTTAAAGTAAAATATCTAGAAAGCAGCATTCGTACAAAGGCTTATGACATGCATTCCCAAAATCACACTTGAGCATATTATGTATTGATGCCAACACTGTCATCATTAGATTTGATGCAGTAATGCACAGTTGAGGGTTTTTTGCCTCATTTTTAGCCATATTGCTGAACATATGAAGAAGTAGCTGCTGTGTTAATTATCCTGTGACTATAAAGCTGTTCCCACTATAGCAATAATTGATTTTTGTAAAATCGTTAGACTACTTCTAGGCTAAAGTGAATCATCTTAGCATTACTCATATCATTACTGAGTTCAGATTCTCTGTTCTGTAGCTATAGTGTCATCACCAGTAGAGACTTTTCTGCAATTATAGGAAGACCTTCCAAGTGTTTTCCTGTTTTTAAACTGAGAGCAAAGAGTGCAAAAAGGCATCCCAGGAACTTTGACGTTCTTATTTAACTAAGTAGGAAAATCATAATGTACTGGATTAGGAGAAAAAAGAAAAATAGAGAAGTCATGGATGGCAGATATGAGAGATAAGGGGAGGCAATTCACCATCCTGCTCCTTTTTCCTACCCCTAGTCTGAAGGTTTCTGAAGGCAGGCTGTTGCTGCTTGGAAACTGGTTACTCTTCCCCAGAAGTGGATCTGTTAACTTAAAAGTGAAAAGACTTCCAGCTTGCCAAACCTATTAGCATAATGCTGAACCTGTGAAAGAGCCATTAAGTAGTAATGCCCCCTTGAGATTGCCTCTGGAAGCTGATACACTTTAGTTAACTATTATTTAGACAGCGGTAACTCTGCACTTTGTAGTCCAGTGGTGAAACTATCTACCTTGCTTAGTAGTGCAGTGGGTTTGAATCCTCCCTTTGCCTGCCTTAAGAAGAGCTTTTGAGAGTTTTCATATGCAATTGTACTGCATGTCCCTTGGGCAATGCAGGACTTGCTTTCTTCTTGCCTGTGGAAGCTGTTTGTTTAAACATTGGTTGAGACAGGAGCTGTTACTGCCTTTTGTAGCCCAGAGGCCTTTGACTGTAGCAGGTATGGGTTTGAGTCTCCCCTGGTGCTTGTGCCTGTCCTGGTTCTGTAATAGCCTAGGGCTTGCTGCTTTGCTTGAGTTAAATGTGCTTTGGAACAAGTTCACACATACACAATTTCTAATCCAATTGCTTAAACAAGACAGCAGGAGACTGGAGGCATTTCACATGCATTGCTAACAGCGACTGAAGAGTATTTTTGACCATTTGGTTTTTATCAGTAACAGGGAGACATTATTGAGAACTGGCCTCTAGAGGACTGTAGTAAGTTCTCATTGATAACTGTGAGCAGTGCTGGGGTCATGGGGCTGCAGCTTGCTCCTGCGGAGGTAAGGGCACTAGAAGAGGGGAGCACACAGGAAGGCTAGACTCCCTGAGCAACCAGCTCACTGGCCACCTTCGAGAGAGGTATAAACAACAACAACAAAAAATTGTGGTGCTGATTTTTCACTAGGTAGATTTCTTTCCACTAATTTGCTATTGAACTAATGCTAGCTACAGCACTATGCCAGAACAACACAATATTATGTGCCATTGTTCCATGAGGTATAAAATAGGGCATGCCAGGTATTGACTCAGGAATATTTACATAGACCTTACTATGAAGCAAACTAGGGTGTAAATTTAGTAAATCTGTTCTGGTCATGTGAGTCTTGCTGCCACTCATTAAAATACTTTGTTAGCAGAATCCATGAAGCAACTTAGTGTGAAAGGCTAGGGCATAGTACACAATTGAGTTTCCTTGTAGATAGGGATGTTAACAGGTAGCCAAGTAATAGTTAACCCGCACTGCAAGCTGCTTGCCACAGGCAGAGAGGGCTGCTCCAGTCCTGCTGGGCCCCCAATTAGGGCTGCCAGCTCCTTGCCTACGCGGGTAGGAAGCCAACACCCTGGGTGGGGCTGGAGCAGCCCCTGCCCAACAGAGCTAGAGCAGTCCCCCTCTGCCCTCCCCACCAACCAGTTTAAAACAGGGAATTTAACATTTAACTGGTTAATTAAATGGGATTTTACATCTCTACTTGTAGACCAGCCATCACACTTCAAACATCAAAATTAATATTTCTAATGAGCAGCTTAGTTATGTATTATAACAGTAGGACCCAAAACACAATGATCTTACCCTTCCAGTTCAGATAATTACATTGTCAACTTAAAATAGATGCTATGGGCGTAGATACCATCAAAAGATAAAAATGTCTGTTGTTGTTGTTAAGAACAGTATTATCTATCTCTGTCGGAGAACCTGATCCTGCATTTCTTGTTAAACACAAACTCCTCTTAATTTGCTAAAAGTTTAGGGATCTGATCTTGTTTTTTTGCACCTGTTCCTATGATCTAGGCTGGGGACAGCTGCTGTCTTCTACCATAACAACAGCTGCTCTTCTTGTTTGTGAAGACTGTATACATATAGTACATAACATTTGGAATCTTTTGAAAAAAAAAGTTAGGTTAACATACAGTACAGGGATGCATAGGCTACAGGAGAGAAGGAATCAGCAAGACATTATGAAATGACAATGATACTAATTTTAACTTTTTTCTTTGCAAGGTGTCCTTGAATGGCCATTTTGGACAAAACTGGTTGTGGTAGCAATTGGGTTCACTGGAGGCCTAGTCTTCATGTATGTACAGTGTAAAGTCTACATTCAACTGTGGCGCAGACTGAAGGCTTACAATAGAGTGATCTTTGTTCAGAACTGCCCAGACACTGCCAAAAAACTGGAGAAGAATCCTTCATGCATTCAGAACTCTGAAATAAAGGATGCTGTGGTAGTGCCAGTATCACAGACAGGTACAAACTCACAGCAATCAGCTGAAGAAATGACCTCTGAGGTCATGCCAGTTTGACAGAGGTGGCATTGTTTCTTCATTGAAGAAGGAAGCATAAGTGTTTTTTTTCACACCAGAACCACTACAGGAAGCAGAAACAATCCATGCATTTTAAATAAAAGAAAAAAATCCCTGACTAGGGAAATGGATAGAGTGATGCACCATGCATTACTTATGGAATGTGACAGTTTGTGAAATAGCTTCTCAATTAGTCGCCCAGGTGTAGTGGAAGTATAGCAAGTACAACAGAGAATAATCCTAACAGAAATGACAAAATGACTTATTTAAACTGGATGACCAGGAGGAAACAGATCTGCTATAACTGTTCTGTTTACAGAAAATGAACAACTTACCATCTATTTGTTACTACTAGGCATCCTATTTGCTGATCATTATCACCTTAAAAATACACTTCAAGGTACCATCATTGATAAATCATTCACATAAAACATAAATCAGCAAAGTAAACTGACCTGCACCATGTCACTCACTTTCTAAATCTCGTAAAGTAATCATTTCATAGTTGTATGGCTACAGTGGAGCCTGAATGTTTTGGCAGCCATGTGAGCTGAGGATATGTAAAGCACATGTTTAATGTTTTTGGATATGTAGGTTTTTCTTCTCCCAGAATCAAAACTTAGTCTTTGAGTCCCCTAATTGTCTCAAATACTTCCTTGGTCCTGTAAAATACTTTAGCCACAGGGCTAAAATTATTAGCTCTACATGTGGACCAACTTTTAGTGCTGCTTATCTAAATAGTGAATTCATATGAACTCTATGCCAATATTTGTAGAAAGGATATACAGTAGATGGTGTTTGTCCATGTTCATGAAAACTTAAGTATGATCAAAGGCATTACAAATTGAAGCATACAGTCCATTACAAAAGATTATGAAATGAATTTAACTTTCAGTCCTAGTGTATAAAAAGCAGAGTGAGGGGGGAGAGAGAAGTTTTGGATTTTTTTTTTTAACATTCATGCTGCAGCAATTAAAGTAATCACAAAAAAGAGCATACCTAAATGTATTAAGATGTCAGTATCATTCTACTCTGACTTGTAGTATCTGTCCTCTATTCAGGATAAGGCTGAGCAATTAGGGATTCAACAGTTCAGTTAATTATGTGTTGAGCATTTTCATGTAAAACTGAAATGTGAATAACTTTGAAAAGTGCAATAGATAAATGAATGTAGATAAAATGGTGTCCAACAGAAGTGAGTTACATACAGAATTATGTGATCCACTTTTGGTTGCTATGGAATTTAATATTGGGACACTAGCCCAAGTGGCTGGAAGTACATGTGTATTGGTTTGGTTAAGTTGGGGACTATAGTAAGCTAGAGCCCTCTTTGATCATGTGTTTAGGAAATTATTGTGCGTGCATAAAGAGTGGACAGGAAATCAAACATTTTGTGGATGTAATGCATCACACACAACCTCCTCTACAGAATGTAATTATCCTGAGTTTTTCTAACCTTAAAGTACCATAAGTGGCAGTTGAGTTGCAAGTGCTGTACAACTGAGTATTAGGCACAGTTCAGAGTATGGGGAGATGTACTTCAACTGAAATTGTCCCGTGAAGAGAATCTAAGGGATGGGATGAGGGGAAAGTGAAGAATTTAGTGTCTACTCAAAAGCCCATTAAACACAACTGTGATTCTCCCATTGATTGAAGGAGGCTTACAGAATTATTTAGGAAATTTGCTATCAATGTTTGTTACAAAAAAAAATTAACTTTGCACTTTTCTGAATAAATGTTGGGTAAATATTACTGCTCTTGGTTTTGTTTTTTTTTTAATTTTCAGAAGATCTTAGTAGTCCATAAGGTAGAGTCAAATGCCGTTTTTTTCATTTTCAGACCATTTTAATATGAAAAGAAATTCCCTAACTTTTATCCATGTTTTCTGTAAGGGAGGAAATGTGTATGTAATAGACATGAGATTAACAATAGTGCATAAGCCAGTAGCCAGGTAATTCCCATACTCTGACTTGCCCCCCTTTCTGGAAGCAGAGATGGTGGCTTTTTATAAACTAGGTCAGCTCAGGTTACCAAGTTACTCTCTCTGCTTTTGGGCAGAGCCCGGAAGTGAAAGAGATGGAGGCAGCAGCATCAGAAGATGTCCCTGTCTCCTCCACTTCTTCCAAAACTCAGATTAAAAAAACAAACAAACATTAAAAACACTTGCGAATTTCTGTTAAACTATCCCCTCTGTCAGTTAACTTGATGGTTTTTTAGAGAGACTAGGTGGACAAAGAAATCTTATATTTGACCAATTTTTGATGATATTAAAGATAAGCTTTTGAGCTTACACAGAGCTCTTCTGCTGGTCTGGGGATAGAGACTTTTAGCTTTATATTAAAAGCCACTGCTACTTAGTAAGATGAGACTTGTTGCCAGCAAAAAAACAAGGCAATTACTCACACAGGCTTGCATGAATAACTTCATATGAAAATTGGCCATGAATGTAAGTACTTGACCACACCTCATCTTAAAACATCTGCCATTGTCATCTAGCACAGAGTATAATGTTCTGTATTAACCCAATCAGTATAGTCCACCACTTGAGGATTCTGTGCAACAAAACCCAGGTTATTACCAAGTAGTAATTTAACTTCACAAAATAACATTACTTCATTTCATAAAAGAAAAGCATTAAAGTTCAGTAAAAACAAATAGCTAAGCCACATTAATGTGGTAATCAACTATAGTCCTCATTCAGGCAAATCACCATTGACCTCACTGGAATTTGGACTGCAGGATCAGACTCTGGGATGAACACACATTCCAAGCTGCCTTTTTGTAGATGTGCACTGATAAGCCAAATTCTGCCTTTTTAACTTCAGGGGCAGTTTTGCTTGGACAAGGATTGCAGAATTATATATATTAATGAGAAACTGTAGAGCAAACAAAATGATTGTGCCCTATGTGAACAGGGACCTCTTTCCTGGATTATTAAGATTGGTTTCTATTTCCAGAACTAATGCTTTCAATTACTCATTTCAAAACAATGACACTGCACCACTTACCTTTGTATTAGTATGATCAGGATCTTTACCCTGTCCAGTGGTGCTATATCTGAAAAGCAAGCGTTAATTTTCTCTGTCCACAACAATTCATTCCCCATCATCAGATCAAGCTCTTTTTTCTAATTCTGTACACTGCAGTGATATTCACCTAAGAAAATATTTTACACTGTATAATAATTGGTACGATGAGTTCTTTCTTGTTTAATCCCATTCTTATTTCCAAAGAAAGTTGGGTTTTGTGAGTGGATATGTACTGAAAGATAAAGGGGGTAAGGGAAACAAAATTAATATAATTGCTAATTGTTGTAGTCAAATTTGTAATTGTATTAAATGACCCTAAACTACTATCGTTTTCTATATTTTATATGTACTGTAAATGGTAAGTATAGGTATTATGGTAGTAAGATCATCTCTAAGCTTGCAAAAAAAAAAAAAACATTTTGGTTTAAGTGTGACAATCCTTTAACAGGACAAAGAACATTTTCACATCTCATTTTTCCTCCACAGGCAGAACTCCAAGCATAATTAACTGAATTTGTTGGTAGGATTCCATCTTTCTGACCTTATCTCAAGTTCTCTCTAATCTCAGAGAAAGATTTGGGTGATGTGTTAAAAGCTCCTTTGCACAGAATTCCAGCAAGCATGGGTTCCCATCATTTTCATATGATATACTATCACAAATAATATGCTCTGGATAATCTATGTACATCTGCAGAGGTGTTCACATTACACAATTTCTATTGCCAGCAAGATCAATGGATTGTAATGCTCCTTGAGAGAACATGTTCTTAAGAGTTGCAGTAAAAATAATTTAAGCCAACCCTGCCAAAGTGTAGATGAAATTTCATAATTTAAACTTATTTACTTGTTCAACTTTGCTGGTAAAAAAAAATGCACCTTCAAACTGCCTGGACTGCTTTTATTAGACATCTTCATTTCTATTCTATATACCGGTAAACACAAAGCTAAATTTATTTTAAAAGTAGAGGGTTATACTCAGTAACCTGAAGTAACATGTGACTGGTGTCTACTATGCCAACAATAATCTTAACTCAAAACACATTAGACAATTTTTCTGAAAACAAAAACAGCTGTCTTTTACTTAAGTTTGGGCAGTTAAAATAAGGCTTTTGTTGGAACTTGGCTGCAACCTTAGAAAGGACCACAACTCCACCTTTCTTTCCACTAGGTACGTCCTTGTACACCTGTCAGCTTGGTTTTAGGATGGTGCGGTTGATCATTTTGCCAAAGAATTCACACAGCTTTGGTAAAATATGTGCTGTAGTATCCTCTTCTATAGTTACACTGAGGACACTAAATTAAAACTTCATTTTTGTTCATTCCAATTGGTGTGCAGTGTGAAGCTCTTGGAGAAAGCAAAAATGGCATATTACTCCTCCAAACTTGCCACATGGTTACAATTCCTTAAGAGCTACTACGTGGTCTATAATTTGGAAAAAAAATAGGTTGTTCTTCAGCAAATTTACACAGGAATATTGCAACAGAGAAAGCAGATCATAAGGTCAGACATGCTGTCTGTAATTCTTTGAAGAATGATCCTCTGTAGTAACAAAATCAGGTGGGTTTTACTTGAACCAGTTCAGCAAACAATAAAAACACTGTGGCTCTCAGAGGCAACACAGCTAGATACAGGAAGACCTGCTGAGAACAGCCTGGGAATAAACCAGTCTGAGAGAAATTCAGGCTATGGTTTATGAGAAACTCTTAGCAATCTCACCTCAGTGTTTGCTGCTTATCTTTTTAAAGCTGCAAAAGAAATAATTTTGGACAAGATCACATTACACATGTATTAAGGTAGGTAATAGCATCGTGACCCAGTCATTCCCAATGAGCACACTGCCCTTCTTGATTTGGATGCAGCTACAAGAATATAAATCAGAGCTGACAACAACAGAAAGCTTCTTTTACCTCAAGTGGAACAAGCTTCTGTTTCAGAGCAGTGAAAGAGAGACCAGTCTTGTAGGCCATGCTCTCTATGTAAATGTTGGTTTAATAATTCTATTTGTTCATTTCTAACAATAACATGGTTATAGAATGGGTACAGCTGTTCAATTTTCTACATAAATGTGTCAGTATTTGAATTACAGATAATTAAGAGGTACTCTGATTGCAAATCTGTAGTTAAAATATTGTAAGAAGAGTTTTATCATGTGCCTCATGACACTTTGCCCAGGGTATTTTCATGCCACTATACACACATTTAAGGTGCAAGTATGCGAGCTTAAAATACGGTTCTACTCTGTGGACTAGCTTACTAAAATTGTATTGTGAGGCTCCATAGTAGGAACCTTTGTTTTAAATCTCACCTGAACATTTCCTTTACAGTGAGAATCAGCAGCCCCATTATAATGGGTCTTACTCCTGGTTGCAGCTCCTAGGAGGCAGACATCAGGTCAGTCAAAGTGGGCTGGGAGATGCCACATTCTCAAAGATTAAAGCTGCTTTATAGAGCTAATTCCTTTAAACCAAGTTCACAGGTTATTAGATAGAACAATGAATTCATATAAACCCTACCAAGTACAGAGTAACTTCAAATTCCACCCCTATAGGTG